TGTAGCATGTCATGATGATGCAGTTCGATATAGGGATAGGGTTGAAAAATGAACCAATTACTCAACGTTCCAATCGAGTTTGATTTCGTAGAAGTTTGTTTGGATTTTGTCTGTTAAATAGTTAAATTAAATAGTAAAAATCAATCTTATATGTACTGACAGTATATATACTATCAACGTTTGATTTATGACATGTCAAATTTTACATAGTTGTCATTCATCCAATATTGACAGTGTATACGCTATTACCGTTTGATTTATGACGTGTGTGTAAAAGTTGAATTTCAAATTCAAATTTTGCATAATTGTCATTCATCCAATGCTGACAATGTATATACCGTTAGTATAGAAGAAAAGATTAATTCTAAACTAAAATTAAACAACATTTTATATTCAATAAACTTGCAAGCTCGGAGGCTCGTCTACACCTCTAAATTCTAATTCGATGGTCTTCTTTGGCAAGTGTACTAGTAATACAAAAGTTGCGTAGTTAACGCGCCAAGATAATCAAAGTCTAAATTGCAATTACTGCCCAGCCATAAATCTCGCGAAACAGAGGAAGATGGATAGGAAGGATGGAGCAATTACTACCGTTACGGGTATTGGAAAAGTGCATTGAATTAAAGTTGACTAATCCATTAATGATTTGCATGTGCTATGGTCTTCTGGTTCGAATTCATATGGTTTTCGCCATTTGTAGACATTAAAGGAAGAACTAGATCAGGCTAAAGACTACTCCCTCCGTCCCACTTTGATAGTCTTGTTTTCCTTTTTCGTCTGTCCCAAATTGCAGTCCACTTTCCCATTAAAAAATGTAGTAATCTTTCAAATTGTCTAAAATACCCTTATTAAATATCTTGTTATTAATACATTGTTATTAATTACTAACCCGCTACATTGAATACATTGAGCTTTTCTAATACTAACTCGTTAGCTGTAACTGATATTAATTGGCACTCTTCGTGATTAGCATAAGGGTATTTTAGGAGATTATGAATCTAAATTTATGTTTCCAATCAAATTAATTATACTTTTTTAATCTGTGTGAAAAAAAAATCAAGACTAACAAAACGGGACGGAAAGAGTATAATTCACAGGTTCCTCCACCATGTCTTGGAGCAATTAAACAAAATACTACAGCACTTACTTTTTTTTTTTTTTTTTTTGTCAAAAAAAAAAGTACTACTTACTTTAACTATTAGTAGTATTCAGCAACAAGAAGTAGTCTCAAGAAAGTAAGAAGATAAAGCAGCACCAGAGTCTATCAAAATCATGAGATGATAATGATATATACCTAGACGAGTTTCTTTCCTAATTTATATCTTACGTGAAAGACTTGGCTAACTAGTACTACGTACACAATTGATGTACTTAATTTGGCTTTGCATTAATGACGAAAATTCTATTCAATGTTGTAATATAATTGGAGGAACCCACCAAAGAAGTTGAAATTTTGGATACGGAGAATTTGATGGTTTGGATAGCAATTTTTTTCGAAAAGATTTTTCGCTTGCTTCATAAGTACATTTTTCAATCTATTTTTTTATCTCATACACATCATAATACAAAAAAATATTACAGTAATTATTTGGAATAATACTCTATCCAATCTGAATTTTTTTGTAGTAAAAAATACTATAGCAATTTGATATATGTGAGATAAAAAGGTGATTGAAAAATGTGTTCACGGAAAATGTAACAGAAAAATTGCTTTTCTGACAAAGCCGGCCCTTGAACTTGTACAGGATAATAAGTTGATAATTGCAGTTAAATCTTTTAAATAGCAGCAAATATATTTAAAGGAACATAACAGTAGAACTATTGTTTAATTTTGCAAATTTTAAAATGTTCACTTGTCAAAACAAAAAAATTACTGGAATCTCTGATAATCATTAGTAAATAGTAAATTTTTTTTTTATAAAAAAAAAGGGCTTACATATTAGCTGAAGTAATGAGATGGACCTTCAAATATTGTCCTTTGTTCGATTCTGGCAAATCCCAGTCAAAAGTTTTATTAATACAACATGTGATGTTTGAAATTTTAGGAGTACGAATTACTATTTGATCTTGTCAACTGTCTTTCAATACAAGACATAATGATTAACATGAAAGCAAATATTTTCTCTTGAGAATAGCATCAAGTTTTGTTCAAAAGAAGAAAAATAAAAGATAGAAAAGGAAAAGGGAATGAATCTGTCGGTGGACTCTGTTTTCCCACTTTTTTTTATTATCATAATTGTGTTTTTTTAAAAAAAAAAAATTGTTAGGGAAATATTTGACCAAGAGGGAATTATTATTGATTGGGGTGGCCTGTAACAACTAACCAGAAAAGGCCAGGCATTAAGCAAGGGAAGCAAGGAAAGAGTAGAAGGCAATTCTGGGAATTAAAAGCCCCGGTATTGGGGGGCACGTGTAATTTGATCGACTCCTCCGGTTGGTGTGGCTTCAACTTTCATGATCCAATGGTTCTCGTGCTTCTCACGTCATATATTTATGTGACTCACGTTATACCTGCAACGTGGCATTGATTCTCCACCTTTTCTCCTTCTTCTAGGATACAAATGAGTGGAGTTGATCCGAGTCTTTATTTAATTTTATCAAGTTCGAACTCAAACTCGACGAACTGTCAATTTAAAACTCGAACTTGAACTTTGACTTGAATCGCTCGATTCGTTTGCAATAGTAATCGACGCATACTCGATATGTGTGTTGTAGAGAGTGAAGAGGTAGGGTTATTTTGGAATTGCGAAAGAAGGAATATTGTATTTAGTTTAATAGTTTAAAGTTGTCCAAACTAACCGACTAATTGGAGAAATAATGGGTGATTATGCAAGTAAGTGATTATATGATCTATATTAGAAAGTTTTGTAGTCTATTTGGGGCGATTTTACCATTAAAATTTGGGGTTATAAATAGAAATTAAAAAGTGACATCGTATGTTTACACTGCATAGTGACGTTCTTCCTTATATATTGTATAAATTTCATTTTGTGTTCTCGTTTTTGAGTCATATTTCCTAACAATATATTCCAATGTTCACAACGTTAGAGATTACAAATATTAATTGCTTTGGTATCAATAAAAAATGATTAACTTTTTATACACTAATAATATCGTGTTTTTTTACATTAATAACTTTGGATGTATGTTATATGTGTATGATTTGAATTCATGTCATGTTGCATGTTTTAATCTTGCTAGGACAAAAAAAAAAAAAAAGTTTACACTGATTGTTGTAAAAAAGTTATCCGTAAAAAATATATAAAAAAACTATTTAACATACAAAATAAAAAAATGTTAGGGAAGGGTTCAGAGGTTCGGAGGGAGGCAATATGAGTGAGAAGTCCCAGGTTCACACCCTCTCACTTGCACTAAAAAAAATACCTTGGTATCAATAATTTTGGAGAGTAAGTAGTTTTTACCATTACATATTTAAAAGTCAACTCGAATTTAAAGGCATCGGGATTGTAAGTTTTCATACAAAATTTTTTAAAATATTCTCTTGACACATTTTTTAATCACTTTGTTTTTTGTCTTACACAGATCATATTGTTGTCACAGTATATTACTTTTTTTTACAAAAAAAAAAAAATAGCAATCCATCAAATAAGTAGGCCTATCAATCTTAGTTCAATTATAGTTCATAGACATCAAGAATAAGTAAAAATATAGATTCTACATTGTTCAATTAACATCGAAAATAATTGCCAAAACAAAAACTAAATAGAAACCAAGAAAATATGGTTTTTTTTTTTGACATTCTTAAAAAGAAAAGTCTTCTGAACAAGAAAAGGCATAATAAATCGGAAAATGTTCTAAATCATACTAAATTGGAGGGAAACTTCTTACTCTTACCAAAATATTTAACCTACTTGTGCCAATTAAAGAAAAACAAAAGGAATATACGAATCTAAAAGGATACAAGAAAAACAAGGACCCAAAAAGCATTTAAAAAGTCCACCAAATAATTGTCAGGTTAGCTGTCCACATGAAATGCAAGCAAATGCTACAGTACAAGAAAATCTTTTGAAGTATATGGTTGGTTGGGATCATGGTGGACCATTGCTCTCCAAAGAGTTCCAATGATAATACATCATACTTGGCTACGTTCTAGAATTATATAGTCGTTGATTTTAGTTTAAGCCAATCAGGTTCTGGGAACCTAAAAGGTAATGCGGAAATTGAAAAGTGAACAAAGAAAAGGTAAAAAAAAAATTAAAAAGACAGTGCCTATACGTGAAAGTAACATAAGGTATGGTTTAAAACGGTCTTCGGATGATAAACCATCATTATCAGGTTCACCTATTCACGCAATTGAAGTATATCTGGTTGAAATCTTTGGCTTTTGGATGTTGCAGTTCGGATGAATATTTTAAGAGCGTTTGAAATTTCATCAGCCATTTTTTTCCTATGTGGGTAGTTGGCACTGGAAATTACTATAAGATAACTTTTTTTTTTTTGTTCGGACTTAATTTTATCGAAGTTGCTTTAATCTGAAAGGAAGGAAAAAAAGTTATTCAGCAAATGTACGATGCTCTATATGCTTAAATTAATCGATTACAAGAACCAAAAGTTTTTCTTTGTTCAAATCATCCATTTTCCTTGATTTGAACGAGAAAAATGACTTCTTATTTCAAATTCTTTTGTCGTGGATGTAACAATAAAGTAGTATAATAATATAACAATGTAATATATGTTAAGTTAAAAAAGTGCATTGACAGAATTTTTTCTGCGAAAACTCGCAATCCAAACAGAGTCTGAGTATATATACTACTCTATATTTGATCAGTTAATACATTTTGTTAATTGAGTTGTCAAGTTATATATGTTGTATATGGACCACAATGACAATCACTTGCTCTTTTTTTTTCCCGACAATAGGCATCTAACAGGAGAAAAGATAAACTACACTCAGGGCACACCAAATAGAGCCTCACTCAACTTAACGAGAGACCCACAGAACTTCACCGTCCAGGCAATTGCTAATGACAATCACTTGGTAGTTGCTAACAATAGATTGGGGAAACCAATTTAATCACCTCATCAAACAAATACTTCAACTGAAATTTTATATATCTTTCATAGAAATTACATTGGCAAGCGTGCAAAGTGGTGAAATACCTTCCCCCCCCCCTCCCCCCAACAACAAAACAATAAAATCAAAGTTATGATAGAAGTCCAGCTGAATTCTGGAAGGATGGGTGACAGATCCAGAATGGAGAATGGGTAGCCATGCCACAGCCCAGATGAAGCAATAAAACCACCCACCCAAGAGCCTGGGCCTTGTGAGATTTGTCAGACGGCTAAGATTGTACAATCCGAGGTTAGACGGAGGAGAGCTTCCGGCACCTGGCAGATGATATTCGTGGTTCTCATTACCAAGTTGGAGGAAATAAAATAATAAAATGTGTTGATGATGCAAATAAAATAATAATTTTTAAAAAATATTGAATATCCGAACAATTTGTCTCCAGAAATGATTTGGTGAAGATGGTATTTAGGCTTTTGCCCTTGGTCCATTCTGAGGTTGGGCCTTTGAGAAATCTGTTGGATGAAAGTCGAGAGTTTAATAACGAAAGCCAAATTTGGTTGCGGGCCTAAAAGCATGATAGACTCCTTTTGAATGATCATGTAATTGGGGAAAAAAAAGTTTTGCTTGTTTGGGGTGGGTAATATTTACACGTTAAGAATAGGGATTTTTTTATGGGCTGTAATCTTCAATGTATAGAGCTTTCTCCAGAGACTTGCATCTAAAGATAGAAAGAAAGGTGATTGGGAAATGAGTTTAGAAAAAAAGTAAAATTTTTTTGGGAAAAATGGCAATGCAAACACATGCACAAATTGAAGCACAAAACAAAACACTCATCAAGCAAAATTTTAAATGCCCAAACTGTTACAGCCACAAAAGTTTCTCTTCGCATTGACTTGATACAATATGCATGTTTTTAACTGTACCATCACTTTAAAGCCAGCAGGCAGAGAGCCGTGGCAGTATACTACATCTGCCAGTCCCAAAAGAAGGGATGGGAGGAGATACCTTGGTGTAGCCAAAAAATGTATCCTCGACATTTGAGTATCTTCTGGACTCCACAAAGTCCTGCCTCAGTGGATTCTAATTATCCTGTAACCATAACCTCCATATCTTCATCACAGACTGGATTACACATGTCTACTCCACTTCCAAATTTATCTTTGTAAATTGAGGTTTCATGAAGGTATACTTGACATGCTTAACCCTTGTTTCAACTTCTTCTCTCGTTCCATCTTTGCGTTTTCTTGTGCCCTCTATTGATGCTTCGTGTGTGTCACTATGGAAGCTGGATCTGCACGGCAAGAGGGATCAGCCATCTCCTCATCCATATTGACTTTATATTCCCTTTTCCGAGATTCCCAGAGCAACTCAAGATGCTTTTCCAAGTAATTATAGTCTCAAGTTTTGTTTTAGTTAGGAACCTTGACAGATTGTGATAGAAAACTCCAAGTCCTTGATCTTCAAGAACTAACAGCCACCCTGTTAAAAAAACAATATAAAATAATGCCATTATGCATCTTTTCTCACATGCATGAAGAAAGAAAGAATAAAAAATTGTATATCAGGCAGCTTCTCCTCGGCTAAATTTGTGATAGGAATGAGTGTATGGGTAAAAGTTGTAAAAAAAGGTAACTTCTATTTCAGCTAAACTGGTTCTAGCTTCATTAACATGGCAGCAAAAGGACAACACTACTATTATTACAGAATTTGAAATGCATCGATTTACTCGTTTCTTTTCCTTTTTTTTTTCAAAATAAATAAAGATAACATCTGATGATGATATAGGAAGCAAACTTGTAAGCAGCTGGAAAACTCAAGCAGCTTGACTCAGGATTAAAGTAAAGCAACTCACTGATGAGATCTCTGGGAGTGCCAATATCATGTGTCAATCCATCCTCCACGCAAGCTTGATTAGAGATCCATTTAATCAACTGATTAGATAAATGAGATTCAGTGAAGGAATTGACATAGGAAAGAGCCCTGCTGTGGTCACATATATCCCTGTCGCCAAAGATTTCCAGCATTAATGCTCAATCCATGATTGATGCTATCTTTGAATCCCATCCAGGGTAACACAAGCCATACCTAGCAAACTGTACAGCATCATCAGCAACTAATAACCACATCAAAGCCAAGTTTCCAAACTGATTGTCACACAGCTGCATCCATCCACGAGAATTGAGACATGAATAGTCAACAATTAAGACAGCATCATAAAGAACCTTCATCAGAGACATTGCATCATCAGAACTCTGCAGCAGGAAGCAAATTAACTTTCAGTCAATAAACACCTATGATTAGCACAAGGTCACTGTTTTTTTAAGTGACAAAAGAAATATGCACACAAAATCATAACAAAGAGAAAAAATTGCAGGAAGAAATAAATAATGATTGACGATCATACTGGGCACTTTGACTAAAGTTACCCCATAAACAAAGAAGAAGCCAGCTACCTGCACAATATCATCTGGTCCAATTCTGGGCTCTTTAATTATGAGGGATCAACAAAAAGCCCACTACTTCAAACCTAAATAATATGATAAAATAGAAAAAATAATAACTGCAATTACTGACCAGTAAGTTAGCGATTGGCAAGCTTGGCTCCAACAGCATTCTAAGAAGCATATCTGCCAGGAAGTAGTTTAAGATAAGGAACATGTAAGAAATTGCTTTGAGAAAGACCCACATAAATGTATTCTAGTTATAGCTGCTACTAGAAAACTAATTTGACTGAATAAGGAAGAAAGACTAATAGAAGATCTTCAATAATCACAACATATTATACAAAAGAATGTGAAACCAATTATTGAATAGCATTATAACCATTTAAGCAATGATTTTCTACATATGCCGAAAATGATATTAAGAATGGAAGAGAAAAGGCACAAGAGACTGAGACTCCACAACGGAAAATGTGCACTACAGATCAACAAGAACTTGTACAAAAAGAAAAAAGGAAGTCAACAAACAATAAAAAATGGAAACATGCTACTGGACTCTGATGCTTGTCACTTGACCAATCCTTTCCAAGTTAAGCTTGAAATGACATTAAATTATAAGTACATTCACATTCTTTCTCTAATCATAAGTGGAGACCCAAAGAAATGAAAATCAATTGGTTACACGAGCATTGGTGTAATTCTAGGAAGATAAGAACCTCTGATTCACTACAAGCAAGGAGAATAGAGAGAGTCAGAGAGACCTTGAAAGAAATGCGCAATCCATCCAATAGAACAAATTTCAGTTGAATAGCTCTCTCCAAAATAATAATGCAAAGTGATTAATTGCAAGCTGATTGGCTATCTTTAAGTGCAAAATAATGATATGCAAGAAAGCCAACGTGGAACTCCTTTTGAGTTTAATATCACCATAAGTGCATGTCAAGAACATACAATCAAACTTACAAAGTACTTAGTTTCTTCCTCGAATTTGTGGCTCAGGTAAGAGCTTCAACCATAATAAAGAAGTACAAATTAGTCAATCAACTAAGAATCAGTATCAGCAGCTTTGTGACTGCATGATACCCTCAAACCCATCTGCTGCTCCACAATTAATACTTGCATGTTGATAATTATAGCATTTGGACAGACACACTTGCTCCACTAAATTGAAAACCTACAGCTTGTATGCAACACAGGGCCTCATAACATGAACTCTATAGTAGTTTGTACAAATTCTACCATCATAAAATGGAAGATAAGCAATTGATTCTAAGATCGAGCATAACCAACTACCAGATTCAAACAATATCTAATGGTAAATGAATAGCAATTCACATGGAGTATCTGACCCAAAAAGTAAATGTTCTCAAAGCCATTGATAGTCTGAACTACCCAGTTCCGCATATCCATCTCCAGCTTGTCTCGCCTAATTCCCTGATTGAATTTCAAGCACAACCTCAACCAAAACACCTCACAAAGGACAATCCCAGCCAAACATTCAATCCCACTTCTTCCATCAACCCCTCACGAGCCTCATCGCTCAAAACTGGAAAAAACACCCTTAGATTGTCTCTGTAATCGCAACCCTCATCCACCCGATCAACAGTCCAAACCCTGACCAAATCCTCAAAACAGACCATCGGAAGATCAGAATAATTTCCTTTTTCAACATCAAGACAACAACAAACACTAATATAACTAACTATTTTTTCCAACAAATCCTCAATTTCTTCCCTCAAAGGGAAACCATTTGTCAACGAATCACGAACCATATCATATAATCGGAAAACAACCGGCGCGAGCAATGCAGTTCTTTTCCACCCATTACTCAAACTGGAAGACGAAACTAACAACTGAAACAAATCTTTAACTAGTAACATCATTCTGTTGGAAGTGATATCTGGGGTAGTTGATACTTTTGAGCTGTGAAAAGTGACTGCAGAGTAAAACCAAGTAATTTCAAGAGGTGGGTCGAGCATTTTTTGGATTAAACGGAAGAAAATCGCCTCGAAAGGGGAGAAATCAGAGTTTCCATTTCTGTATGAGGCTAAAAAGTGCTTGATCGATTCTCTTAACATGGGCTCATGGTTTTCTAACTGTGAGTCCATTGTAAGCATAATTTTTTTATTGAAATGGCATAAAATTGAGTGGGTTACTGGTTGATTTCTGCGAATTTGATAGAGGAAGAAGAGATTGGAAATTTAGAATTTGGGTTTAACGGTAATGTTGAAACCCTAGGCGCTGTAGAGAATGGTGCTGGCGAGAGGGAACTTTTGGGGCTTTTAGCTAACGGACAGTATTTGAATTTGGTCTTGCTACTCTTGGACCCTGGAGTCTTGGCATTAAACTATTAGTTTTTTGTTTTTTTTTTTTTTTTTTTTTTTTGAGGATGGGCGGGGGGAACTAAGCGAATTACTCAGCTTTTTGTTGCGGCAATAAAACTATTTTTAGTGTCACTTATTTTTTGTGGAGTCCACTTTATTTAGGAAATTAAGTGGCACTGAAAATTAAGATATTCTATTTTTAGCTATCAAATATGTTAAAATCTGAATCTATTAAATTTAAGTATTGAATTGAATTATCAAACAAATATAAAACTTAATAACTTTTTCATAATATGTCACCAAGTAGCATGCTATTCTTTGGATCTAGATGACAGTTGAAATTACATAGGAACTAGTTTTGTAACCGTTTGTTGAATGGGAATCGTCGAAAAATAATAAACTATTTAGTCAATTTTATAAAAATGTCGATGTAAAATACAAACTTAATGTATAATCTATTGTAACCTATCTTAAGTATATTACTATGTGCACATTGTAATATAAAATATTCTTATAACCTGTCTTAGTGTATTGAAGGAAGATGTACCTGATAATCAAGATGAATGGAATGCCAAAATCGATGCTTTAACGTGCCAACTGCTTGTACTGGAAATACCTAACCATGAATCTGATGCTTGAAATTCATATATTAGAGGTTATATGTAGTGTAAGCATAAGAAATAAGAATTGATAACGATATAAAGAAATATTAATAAAAATATTAAAAGTAGTTTTATCTTGATTTAAGTTGCCTAAAGTATGTAACTTTGGGTACGAAATAAAAATCATATAATATTAAGAATTCTTATAGGAAATAACAATTGATATACATCCAAACAAAAGGAGGAGCAAGCAGCTGCAAATATATGATTACGATAGAATGATAATGGATCACAAAAAAGCACCTTAAAATGTTAAGGATTGTTTTATAAGTTATACTTGGATGATAAGGACGGTTTTAATATTTGATACTTGAAATTCATATATTAGAGGCTATATGTAGTGTAGGCATAAGAAAAAAGAATTGATAAGAATATAAAGAAATATTAATAAGAATATTAAAAGTAGCTTTATCTTGATTTAGGTTGCTTAAAATACATAAGCCACGTAGGAAAGATAAAATAAAGTCAAAAGAAGAGAGAGATGGAAGAGGGTAGGTCATTTTATAGAGCGTATCGAAACTACTTGCGTATCATCGTTAAACCACGTAAGAAAGAAAAAACATGAAACGATAAGAATGAGAATACGATTTATTATATATATATATATATATGATTGTCTAAATAACAAGACAAATTAATCTATATCCACTTATAATTTAAACAACCTACCTATGACTATTACGTTGTATTGACTTATCCTTTCTTCCTCTCGGATTAAGACATTGATAAAAGATCCAGAATTTTTGCTACTATTTATTATTTGAAAGACATTTGAAAGAATATTAAAGTCTCATTTGTATTGTTATTTTTAGGAGCTTTTGTAAAAAAAAAAATACTGTAGTAATTTGATGTATGTAAGACAAAAAAGTGATTGAAAAATATATTCAATTATATGTAAGGTAAAAAGGTGATTGGGAAATTGTATTCAAGGAAAACACAAAAATTTTTCTGTGAAGACATTGGTTAAAATATGTGAAATGCACAACGGCGTCGCATGAGAGAACGGAAATAGCAAACTATATTAGCCTTCCTCTTTTTGGAACAGACAAACACCCAAACTACTATTGCAAATTAATTAGGAACCAATTTTACATTTTTTTTCCCGTAAAAAAGGAACCAATAAATCAAGCAGGGTCTCCTGTCTGTAGTCTGTTGGCAACGTCGCTTCGAAATGGCTCTCTTAGCTCGAAACGCGAATCGCCTGGGGCTAACGACGGCGTCGTATCAGAGGGCGGCAGGTTTAGCCTCAATCCACACTACCCTTCCGACAGCCTCTTCTCAACAGTCCTCGGCGGCACCGACGACCTACGCACGTGCGCCTCCTCCCTCAACTTCGTCCCCGACGGGCCTGCCCAAGGCAGCTGAATATGTGATCTCAAAGGTGGATGATCTCATGAACTGGGCCCGCCGTGGATCCATCTGGCCCATGACATTCGGGCTGGCTTGCTGTGCCGTCGAAATGATGCACACCGGGCGCCGCCGCTACGACATGGACCGATTTGGGATCATCTTTAGGCCTAGCCCTAGGCAGTCCGATTGCATGATTGTTGCTGGTACTCTCACCAATAAGATGGCTCCTGCTCTTCGCAAGTACGTTTTTCAGTAGTAATTCCTTAAGTTTAATTTTTTATCTATTTTCTCTTGTTCAATAGTTTTTCGACATTTTCGCATTGTTTTTTTGGAGATGAGTTCTTTGTTGGGATTTTGGTTTCCTCTTTTGCTGTCCCGAGGAAAGGCAGAGTAGGGATTTTGATACGTTGACTTTATGCTAATGAGTTTGTAAGTAGGTTTGATTATGTGTTCCCTTTCCTCGAGTTGGGGGATTTGGTTATTTAATTGTTGTGTGTAATTTTTATGCTATTTGTTGAGTTCGATACAAACGGCAATGGTCGTTCAAACTGCTTTTGATTTTGCCTGTCAATGATTTACATCCTTCTCGCTTGGTTGGATTTTGAAAATTTTCAAATTCCATCTGAGAAGTGTGGAGCTTTAGATTGTTAGTCTTATTAATAGATTAAGGTTTTAGGACTTTGGAAACCTGATTTTGATTTTGCTAATGTTTGAATTAGTGAACTTGCTGAGTTTTTAGTGAGGTTGTTGTTAGATAGGATAAAATTTAAAGGGTTCCTCTCTGTTTCTTTATCACAAGCTCTAAATTCCAGAGTGACTAAAGAAAGATTTTCCCAGAACTGAGGTGAGGGGTTGTGGAAGAATTGGAATATGAAGTGCCTTGAATGAAATTGTTTATGGTAGATTGGTGGGTGGATGTCTGTCCTTGAAATTTTGGTATCTTTTCTTGGTTGTTCTCTCTTTTAATTGTTTGGGGCTGCATGTCTTTGCCTCGTTTAAAAGAGCTTTTGGACTGGAGTGAGAATCCACTTACCCAGTCTGGAAGATCTGCAACACAATTATGCTATTAATTATCTTTGGTGCAAATAGGCTGTTGCTTCTTGTATAAATTGTGGACATGGTGGGTACTTATCAGTGGTTAAGTTACCAAGGGTAAACTTCTTGGCGTTGGTGGGTCCATTTGATAATTTTATGCTGTTGCTTGTTAAGCTTTTGCAAACTTGAGTTTGGCATGCTAAATATCAAGTTATTTGTGTCCATTTGGAGTAAGTCTTTGATACAAACTGATAAACGTAATATGCACCTAAGAATTTGCAGTGATGATCTCCTTTGCAAGTAAAGAAACTTTTGTATACAAAATGATGTTTCTATTAAGTGTTATACTGTACAATGGTGTGAAAGTAAACCAACCATGGTGTCTGCCCCCGGCATGTATCCTATTCATGCTGTGCTCACTTTTTTTTTTTCACCCTTCCATCCCTGATCCAGTTTTTCTTCTTGTCCTTGTTGTACATTTGTGAGTTTTACCATTTACTTGGGTGTATTTTGAGTCAGTATTTTAATGGTCAAAGGTGTTCTAGAACTTGATTATTAGGTTGTTGATATAAAAATAAAATCAGTTGTGGTGGTGCTTTTTCTGATGTTTTAATGGAATTGAGTTGTGGCCACAAGAGCCTGATAAGCGTGAAGGATTGTAAATTGTTTTTGTTGTTATTTGAAAGGATTTGTGTTCGACACAAGTTTACTTCAGGACTCTCTTGAATGCAGTGTATCATACAAGTTCCTACGAACTAAAACTTCTAGGATGTTATATAGTTAATACTCAATAAAGTATGTTCCTGGATCACTTTGGCTGTCTCTACTACACTGCTTACCAGGCAGCAGTATTTTTTGGAACTGTGCTGGGCCTAGCTTTTCTGTGAGGATTGGGTATTTTTTATGTTTGCCTTTCCTATCTGATCTTTATTCACTAGAAGAGAGTTTTCTTTTGGTTCATAGAAGCATTGGAATGTCATTACTCTTGAGAATGTTATCCATTTTTTGGTGCAAAAGTTAGAAGATCAACATGTTGAAGTTTATTTGTTATACATCTTTCTTTTTGTTGGAGAATTGTTCACTTGTTCGTTGGGGAGCCTTCTTGTTTTGTCAAAAAACCTGTGGGCAGAATAATGAAAGGCAATTAACTCACACATTCTTGATTGGTGATTTGTGAAAGTTACTATATCAAAAAGCAAACTTTTTGTTGTAAGATTTGGCAGCTATCAGTTTGGTGTATGTATCTTGACCTGATTCCATATGTACTGCTGCTTAGCATAGTCTTTCTCGTGGATAATTAAAGTTCACTAAACTGATTATCATTGTTGTGTGCGCATATTGGTGGTTAATCTAATTTGGCAAATGACTGCTGTTGATTCTTTTTCTTCTTCCAAAATATTGTTGCAGGGTCTATGATCAAATGCCTGAGCCTAGGTGGGTCATATCAATGGGAAGCTGTGCAAATGGCGGGGATACTATCATTATTCCTATTCTGTTGTTAGAGGTTGTGACAGGATCGTGCCAGTTGACATTTATGTCCCTGGTTGCCCCCATCTGCAGAGGGTCTTCTTTATGGACTTCTCCAGCTGCAGAAGAAAATCAACAGGCGCAAGGATTTCCTTCATTGGTGGACAAAATAAGGCTTGCCGATGCACTGCAGGGCTGCTATGGCTTGCTTTCTGTTGGAATAAACCAAACTGTGTGGTTTCCCTTGCTAAAAAGTGATGAAAAGGAAAAGATAGTTGGGCTATTACGGTATTACCTACCATGAACTATATTGTACGTTGTTGTACTCAGTAGCCACTGGTGTTGCTTGGAGCCATATACTATTGGTTTTGTTTCACTGTTTATCATATCTTATAATAAAGACGCAAAATTGAGTTAAGCGTGCATGTTTTTTTCGACTTTAACAGTGAGCTAGATGAGAGGGGCTCCTAATCATTGTCGAGTTGGACATGGTGTTTTACTAGACTCGTTTCATTAATTCAATTAGATGTGGCCGCTGCTATATCATGCTAATGTAAACCACTATTTTTTTTTTTAAAAAAGATTTCTCTGGCTCTAATCGTCTGGTTTGCCTCAATTCTTTAAGGTAAGGTATCACCTACTGTGCTAATTAAATCTGTCTTTCAGTCTTACCAGTTTTGTTTCTTTGTTTTGTGCTCTTGCAAGAGCAAGAACGATTAAACTACTGCATTATACCATGCCCTTCGGGCTAAGGAACCAATGAATTAGACAATAGTTGCATTTCGTTAGCTGTCAACTTGTGTTTTGGACGATGTCCAAAATTCAGTGCTAGTAAAAATGTTTAAAGGCCATCTTCCAAAGAAAGGTTTATGAATACTCAATACGGCGACAAACACCAATATTACTACATAATTTCAGTCTTTGGAAAGAGGAAGCGACTCTAGCAAGCACAAGCCAACTGTCACTGAATTTAAGGAGAATCACTCCTGTGTTCTGTTTTTATAGAAATCAAGAATTGACAGTCGACACCCTAATCAAGTTCAGTTTTTTGTTTTTTTTTTACAAGTTTGGATTGCTATAAGTTGAGAAAAAAAAAACATGGGAGTTAAATTTCGCACCTCTTACTTCAATGCCTGTACAATGGTCTGGAGAGGTTCTCCTCTTGGTCTCAACTTTGATGGTGATCCTCTGGACCTGTTGCTAATGAAGGGCCTGTTTGGAAGCCAGGTTTTTAAGCAAATTTTTTACCTACTAGTTTTTTAACAACTTTTGCTACAGGATCCCAAAAAACTTCTCAAAGTTTTTTACCTACACATCTCAAAATACCAAAAAAAAAAAAAAAATTCCCTTCCCTTTTTTTTTCTTCTTCCTCCCCCATCCCAACCCACCACCTCCTCCATCGCTGACCACCACGTCCGGCACGGCCTCCACATTTTCTTTTTTTTTTTTGCCTTTCTCCCTCTCCACGCCATCTTCCCCTGCCATCCGCTCCCTTCATCGGCAGTTTGTACCCTTTTTTTTAAATTGATGGGTGCTTGAAGACGTGGCACACTGCAGATCATCGGCTTATTCGGACGTACACGGGACACGTCAATGCCAGGAGATTCGTCGGGTTATCCGTTTGGAGGGGCGGCGGCCTGCTTAGCTGTGGCTCCGAGGACAATCAAGTTGTTGTCTACGATAAGAGATGGGGCTCGTCTATTTGGGTCAAGAGATTTGAGCCATCCTCTGCTGGAGCTCCGGCTCCAGGTCGAGCTGAATATTCCGGGTGGGAATATTACGAGCCTACAGGTGCAGGGTTTGTGAGCAGCGTATGCTGGAGGCAAATGGGAGAAGACCAATGCACACTCGTCGCCGGCGGCTCAGACGGGATCCTGCAAGTTTTAGCGGTAGCAGAAAAAGAATAAGCCAATAGTAAGGTGATCCTTCTTATAGAGTAAGGAGAGGGGAAGGCTGAAAATTGCAACAAAAAAAAAAAAGTTGACTGGCTTGTGGAGGAGTTGCGCCTTGACTGCCGGGCGAGGGAAAAGGGAGGGGGAAGGGCAAAGGGGAGGAGAAGGGGAAAGGGAGGAGAGGGGTGGCGGGAGGTGGCATTGGAGGAGGTGCTGGTGGAGGAGCCGATGGTGGTGCTAGAGTTGGAGGAGGTGCAGGTAGTGGTGGTGGTGCTGGTGGTGGCGTTGGAGGAGATGCTGGTGGAGGAGCAGGTGGTGGTGCAGGAGGTGGGGCTGGTGGTGGAGTTGGGGGTGGAGCAGGCGGGAGAGTAGGAGGAGGGACTGATAGGAGGCTGCATTGTGTTGCTACTCCATTGCGTTGTTGCTGCGTCTGCGTTGCTGCTGGGATGAAGAAGAAGAAAAAGATAGGAAAGAAAAGAAAAAGGAAAGAAAGAAAAAGAAAAAGAAAGAGAAAGAAAAAAAAAGAAAAGGAAAAAAAGTTTTTCCACCTTACAAAAACTTCTACAAAAAAGTTTTTCACCTTACAATTTTTATAAAATTTTTTCAAAAACTTCTACAGCACACTACAATAAAGTTTTAGACAAACTCTCAAAAAACTCAGATTCCAAACAGGCCCGAAGTCCTCCGTGAAACAAGACTGCTTGCTACTACTCCTGCAGCATCTGTGTGATGTTTCCGAGTCTTCCGTATCAGTTAGGGGCGATTCTAGATGATATGGGCTTCTTTTTTTGGGCAGATGGTATTCAAAAAAAGTTAGTAGGGATCATGTTAATCTAGTGCATAACTTAGACAAGCAAGCCAGACTCTTGTAACGTACAACTCTCCGTATAACTAATATAATTCAAGTTTCCTTTTCAAAAAAAAAAAAATAGCATTTGGAATTCAAGAATTAGATGACTGAATAACAATAATGTAAAAAAAAAAAAAAGATTAAATAGAGAATGCTAATATCTTGTTTGAGGAATGGTAACGGGGCGGACAGTAGCGTGGGTGAGGGTGGGGTAGGGAACCCTTCCCCTCTCCTTGTCTCGCAAGCGCCTGCGAGGGCGAATAAAAATTTGTCGAGTGTAAATGAATAAAATGTAATTAGTAATTTAGTATAAATGTATTAATATAATTAATCGATAATTTGTATTCATATAAATGTATAATTATTAGTATAACTAATAATATTAATTATATTACATATACATAATTTGGTACTTATAACTAATAATATAATTAATAAAATTAAATATATTATGTGTATAATTATAATATATATATATATTTTTTAGGCAATTACCCCTCCAATCTCATTTTCGAATAGGTCCCATTAAGCGTACTCGCTTCAATTGTTATCCCAATCAAATCTTAACCACAAAATACTTCAAAATAAAATAAAAAAGTAAAGAAAAGAAAATTTAAGTACTATTACTATTAAAACAATTAATAACAGGGGCTTAAGAATTCTGGGCTCAGACAATAATGGGTCAAAGCTCACTAGGCCCACTAAAAGCTCAAATCATGGCGGAGTAAATGGCTTTTATTAACTTTTTAAAGATTAATATAAAAATAAAAAAAGAAGCAGAAATAACATTAAAGTTACAGTAGTGGTAACTGGTAAATAAAAACTACCGAGAGCGACTATTCTAAATCCCAAAAGCGGAAAAGTAAAAAACGAAAAAAAATCTCACAGGTCAGCCCGGCCAATCGATCTACTATAAAATGACCCACAATCAACCCTCCTCGGTCTCTTCTTCTCTCTCTTTCTCTCTCTAGGGTTTTCGCAACCCTTTCGTTCCCCCATTTTTATCTCTCTCTCTCTCTCTCTCTCTGTCATCCGAACCTGTGCACACGGGAAAAATATCTGTATCTGAACGAGCAGCAATGGCGGAAGAATTGCAGTACGGTTCGGACTCACTCTCCAATAAGAGGAAGTACGAAGACAGCCAAGCGGCTCTTCCGTCTAGGAGCCGACGACTGGATTTTCTGCTCCGATCTCTTCTCAGTCGCCTCCGGACTCCAAGCAGCCTCCGGCTTACAACAGCGTCCCACCGCCTATGGATGAGATCCAGCTTGCTAAACAGAAAGCTCAGGAAATTGCTGCCAGGCTCTTTAACAACGTTGATCCTAGCAAGAAGCCTAGGGTTGATAACGGTGGCAGTGGTGGATATGACTCCATAGAACGTACGACTTTCAGCCTTTATTTTTTTGTGTTTCTGCAGATTTTTTTTTTAAAATTTCTTCTCTGCCTTTCGCCACTCTGGCAAGCTTCCTTGTAATTTTCGTTTGCCTTGTGGCGGTTGGGTTTTTTAAGTTTTTTTTGTAGGTATTTTGATCTTCAAACTAAATTTTTTGCGTATTAACCTGTTTATATGTAATGACTAATGATGGTGATATTTCATATTTGCGGAAGAAAATCTGTATGCTTGTTTCTGGTGTAGCTCATTACTCTCGCCTTGTTGGATTTTGTGGGAGGGCAATGACTAAATTACAGCACGAGTCCTTGCCCCCCCTTTTTTTTTTGGTTTTCCGGTTTCTAATTTGATCCTTCAGTGTGCGGCTCATCCAATTATATGCTTTCCACAGAGAGAATGCTTCTGCATATTTCATTTACCTTTTCAAATTCCTAGGTCCTTCTGATGTTAGTAGCATTCAAGTGATGCATAAACTTCCATCTTTGATTGAATGCAGCTGTGGTTCAAAAGCCCTTGAGTGGTGCTCCTTCAGTGCCAAGTTCATACGGGTATCCTGGTCTAAGTAAGAAGATAGAGATACCTAATGGACGGGTTGGAGTGATTATTGGTAAAGGTGGGGAGACCATTAAGTACCTTCAGCTTCAGTCTGGTGCAAAGATTCAAGTTACCAGGGATATGGATGCAGACCCTCATTCTCTGACTCGAGGGGTTGAGCTGATGGGTACCCCTGATCAGATTTCAAAAGCTGAGCAATTAATTAAAGATGTCCTTAATGAGGTAACTTTTTTGGTCACGTAAATTTTCACATTTGATTTTTTTGGGGTGCTTTGCTATAAATACTAGGGAATGTTTAGGTTGTAGGATTGTATCTCATTTCAAACAATCATTGGTTTCATGACATTCGTGTAACTAAAGGTTGAGTAGTTATTTTTGTGTGATAGATCAGCTGAACTGGGTTAATAAAACATTCCATATTGCTCACAGGCTGATGCAGGTGGTTCAGGTATAGTTTCTCGAAGGGTAACTGGACAACCAGCTGGAGCTGATCAATTTGTCATGCAGATTCCAAATAACAAGGTCAGTTCCAAAAGATGGTTGACTATTAGATGGTAGACTTTATCCCTCCTGTTGTTGACTAAATTGATGTGTTCGTTGTAGGTTGGACTTGTTATTGGTAAAGGAGGTGATACCATAAAAAACATGCAAGCCAGAACCGGTGCTCGGATTCAGGTGTGCATCTTTTTTGCATTTGTTTCTGTTTGATTTTGCTATTCCGGATTCAGCTTCTTTTAGTGGGATCTCACTCCTCAATAATAAAAGTTCTACTTTAATTTTCATGGCTTTGTCAATGTTACAGCTAAAATATTTTTTTTTGCCACGAGTAAGTGGATGAAATATTTTACACTGA